GCGCGCGCCCTCCACTGCCCTCCCGCTGGCGGCCAGAGCTCCCCGCACGCCCACCGTCTCCCCCTCGTTTTCAATTAGAGGCTTTTTTCGCACGTGATGCGCCAAGGGAAAAGCAACACTTAGAACTAAGGTACTCCCAGAGACAAATAAGATTAATGGGATAATCTTGTAGATTACAATAGTGAGAGGCAGTTCCTGCCATTTGCCGCTCTCCAAGGACGGGCTCTACTTGCATCCAGTACAAACAGCTGCAGATTCCCCCGCGCCGCCGTTACCTTCCACAATCGCCCGTCGCCCAGACCGCGTTTTACAAGCTAAATCTTCAAATTGGGAAATTTCTTGACCGAGAGAACCCGTGCAGCTAGCTGCGCGCGTGCTCACCTCCGTATAAACCTATGCACATACACACCCACGGCGCTCACAGCCATGGCAGATAATACCCTGACGTTAATCAGGTCTTAATTAAACAGTGACTAAGTCTTATTAAATAGCCTCATTTTCACCGAGAAGAGCTGTAGCTGACGGGGAGCGGTAGCAGTGGTCCCCAGCCTTCACGTGAGTTTCCATCCAGACGGGGCTGCAAACGCGCTGGAGGAGGCACCTTCCAAGCTTCGCGGTGAGCGTCTTAAAGCGTGTCACAGCACGCTAAATACGGACAAAACCCTCTGCTACTGAATTCAGGTTATTTTTCTCTGCCCCTTTACATTCGGCAGTGCCCAAAAATTAATGGCAAAAGACAGAACACGCTATCAGAGAAAAATCATTTTGGCAAACACCTGGCAAGCCGTCAACTTCTGATTCTGGCCTAAGAATACAAGATTAATATTTCTAGTAAAGTGATCAGCAAGAAAAATCTCTGCGTAAACATTGGCGCACAGATTATCAGCACTGGGCTTCCCAGTCCACGGCAGAGCGAGGGGGCAAAGCCGTCCACTTGTTTCGGAGGTGTGTTTCCACTCATCCTATCTCTGGAAACATCAGCTGCATCTATTGGCTTTGCGGGATGGATTTTGGATTTTTTGTTTTGTTTTGTGTGTTGTGGGGTTTGGGGTGGGGGGTTGTTCCCTCCCAACCAGGGGGAAGGAAAACAAACAATGAAGTACAAAAGTCAACTCGAGAAGAGACAAAGTGCATGGCAAATTTCATAGCCGCAAAGTTTCAGCACACACAAACACTTGGAGAACATTTTTAAGTAATATAATTAACTAAACTTGTATTTAGGTTTCACCTAAACCTTTGTGTGAGCTCTGCTGTTCCACATGAACACAACAAGAGAAAAATATATTCGCGCACAGGTCTAACGGGATGTTCAGCCGAACTCAGACTGCTGTAATCGGTGCTTTCCACAGAAACACTGTGTAGCATATATTAATCGTTTTGAGAACAAAATGCTAATTTTGAGCATTTTCAACTCTTTTTTTTTTTTTTATTTCATCAGCTCACATATAACCACTCATTGCTGTTTACCTAAATTTACACAAAACTTGCTTTTAATTACACATGCCAACAGATTCCTGGTATGAAGCAAAACAAGCCACGCATTGTCCACTGCAGTCATCCATACCTTACAGCTCCTGCCACTGCCCCGTCTGTAAGCAGCACCTGCTCTAGCTTCTTCCTCAAATTCAAAAGTGGGGGTACCTGCAAACAAAAAGGGAATAGCTTGTCTTTTTTTCCCATGCAGCTCATCTGCTTACGCTGCCAAAGATGCGAGGGTTAAAATTTCACTTGAAATTACTCACCCACACATACGTAGGGTGAAAGAGCCAGAAGAATCTGACCAACTTAATTCTCATTGATGTCGACACAGTTTTTCTTTTTCTTCTACTGGCTTAGTGTATCAAGTAACACGGGGTTGCTGAGACCTTAGCAGTATCGCTTTGAACGAAGCGGAAAATGCAGTAATCTTTCTGTGTCATTAGTTATTCGGTCTCTTTATCCATCCCCATTAGTTATTTTTTTCTTTCCCCCCATGAATTTAACTTTTTAACATTACTTACGCAAACATAACCTATGCAAAACAAAGCACATTCCCTTCATTCACTCCACAGAGCCCCTCAGAAATATTGGGTTTTGGTCTATTTGGAGCAAAATTAACAGAACTTGTCCTACCCGCTGCCTCGTTCATCCCTACGATTTTATTTATCCTGCCTGCAAGACTTCCAGCCATCAGGAAGACTAATGCACGTTTTTCCAGCAGGATGCAACAAACGCGCTCCTCGGATTTCACGAAGGCAAGCTCGTGCCTTCCCCTCGCGCTCCCGTCATCCTCCTCGAAGCCCGAGCCGGGCGCAGGCTGCGGGCGACGCTGAGCTGGCTGTGCCAGCCTAAGCTGGCCGAACCTCAGGTCCGCCTGGTCTCCTGGTGGGAGCGACAGGCGATTTTGGCTGGGCTGCTAGTGGCATCTGCTGGAAGAAGCAGGGAAGAGAAACCTCTCCTCCACGGGGCTCTTCCTGCGGTCACACCAAACGACCAAAACGCATCAAGAGGTCCAAGATACGCAGCACACGCACACTTCTGACCCCGAAAAGTGCTCAAACATTTTTGTATTAATTATCTGCCCTCCCGTAGGAGCAGGCAGCACGTTTCAGGGTGACGTAGCTTATCACCACGTTAGATACCACTGACACTGAGCTAAACTCCCAAATAACGATACAGCTCCTTAGTGCAAATGGACGCGCCTCAGTCCTTGGGCAGAAGACGCGCGCCTGGCGAGCCCTAACCCGCTTTGTCCTCAACAAAGACGTTTCGCCAAAGTTAAAG